AAATGGGTGATGATGCTGATGATTATCATCATGAATTTGCTCATTTTGAATAATACTTTTTTCGTCACAAGCAAGCACATGAACAAAAAAAAAGAATCTGTTGAAAAATTAAAAAGAAAAAAATAGGCAATGATACAAACTGCAACCCTGCATCTCAACTGGTTATTGTACCATGTTAGATGTTTTAAAAATACAATAATGAACCTAGAACAACATCCCCAGAGGAAGCAAAGTCAACTAAAATCATGGGTGAGGGTGGGGGTGGGGATCCAAACCATGAAACCTTCCTAGGGAGGGGTGCAGATATTTTCTGGAACAACAACACATATGGTTGCCATATGCATCTGAAAATGTTCTGCTCAGTTAATGGTTTCAGAGTCCCAATAGCACACCTCGAGCCAAAAATTCACAAGCAAAGAACGTGTCAGAACGTGCAAGGATTACGTCATTGGTAGGGAAATAACCACCGTACTAAAGATAGCCGTGGATAACGTAATTCTTGAATTGTGACTCGTGTGACTACTTTGCTAGCCCTTCACTCATGGAAAAACCAATTAAATTTAAGAATTCACAAAGGCTAAGAGCGATGGTGCAATAACACAGTTTGTGTTGATCAAGTGATGCAGTGTCTACAGTATTGACAGTAATCAATGAATCTTTAGAATGGGCGCTGCGTTGCGACCGTAGTGCTAAGAAAACAGTTAAATTTTAAAAGCGCGGCCATAAGATCTAACATATCTTCTTGTTTCATTGTAAAAGATGATAGGGAGATTTTGTTTTCTATTTAGCATGGAGTCCACATTAAATCGCTAATGGACCTAATGTATGCATGAACATAGAAGAAAATGATATACAGGAAAGGAATTGTAGCGTTACACGAGCCAACCGCGAGCCCAAGTCAACCTCAAGTCAACCTCGAGTCAACCTTGAGCCTGTTATTAAAATGTCTTGTTGTTAACTGCTAAGACAGTCTATATTCATATATTTTATTTCCTACAATCTATTTCTTTTTTCGGGACGAAATAAAAAATAAAAAATAAAAAATTGGCTTGCCTCGTGGTTGACTTGAGGTTGACTCGTGACTAGAGTTTGACCGGGTTGGTGGGTGGCTCGTAAGAAAGTCGGCAATGATAGGCCCTTTGCAGCTAAGCCATCACGTGACCTATTTTTGAAAAAATTATGGGCTATAACTTAACGAATGCCAGAAATGGAAAAAGTATGTCGAAAATATCAAAATGTGCAAGTTTGAGGCCCCCATCATTAAGGAAGGAGATTTTATGACGGTCCGAATTTTTAAAAGAATAAGAAGATTTGTATGGAAAAAGTTGCTGGAGAGCAAGGCTTTGCTCACCAGCAACATTTTACATACAAATCCTCTGAATTTCCGAAAATTCAAACTGTCGTACAAACTTACTCTTTAATTCCAGGGGCCTCAAACTTGGCCATTTTGGTATTTTCGATGCGCTGTTTCAATTTCTGGCTTTTTTAAAGTTATAGCCCATTGTATAAAAAATTTGCTAGGAAAAACTTGGTCACGTGACCCCAGCTGCAAAGGGCCTATTGGGTGGTAAAAAAGAAAGTTACGTAAAGCAGAAGTTGGTTGGCTCAAAATGAGTTAGGGAAAATTCCCAGAGGCGTCCTCTCAAAATTAGGAAAGCACCTAAGCCGTTGGTTAGTCTTTCGTAACACAGGGTTTTAAGCTATGTCGAAGAGTACCATCGAAGCTGATGTAAAGCGCGTTATGTCGGCGAGAGGCAGAGGGGAGGGAGGTCGGAGACTGCATGTGCAATGTTGTGTTCCAGGGTGTTTACAGACAGTGCGCAAGTTGCGTCTACATATCAGAAGGTCCCATAAGAAGCTCTGTCCTCTGTCCTGTTCTGCTTGCCAGGCAAGGTTCGTGGGACAGAATGATTTGAACAACCATCATAGGAACGGATGTTCCCGCGTTATGTCGGAGAGAGGCACAGGGAAAGGAACTCGGGGAAAGCGTGTGCAATGTCCAAAGTGTTTTACGACAGTGCGCAAGTTACGTCTACATATCAGAAAGTTCCATAAGGAGCTCTGTCGTGTGTCATGTTCTGATTGCCAGGCAAGGTTCGTGGAACAGAATGATTTGAACAACCATCATAGAGACGGATGTCCCCGCCGAAAGCATATAAGTTATCGAGTGACGGCTACCCCGGGAAGCTTAATAGGTAAGCATAAAGCAATGTGTTTAATTGTTGTAACCCGTGAAAATTTTCCAAAAAAGCTGATGACTCATTCCAAAGTTGTCAAAAGAACTTTGCGACCCATCCAACTTGGGGAACAACGTTCTCGTGTTCTGATAGAGCAAGATTTCTGCACAGTGCCATACATTTATTTGCGACTTCCGTGTTTTCACGTGACGTCATCGCCGCCCAGATGGTGGTCAGGAACAAATTAAAAGAATTTATTATTAGCTCTCACTGTTTTGACCACCATCTGACCTTACGTGCCATCGTTATCTGAGTCTCTAGAGATAGCAATTCATGATTGATGTTTGTGAGCGTAACTTTGTTGTGAGTAATTATGTAGGGAGAGAATCGTATGCATAATTAATAATTAGTATAATTAGTATAGAGTTGTATGGAATTCAGCTGTCCCCCACGTCTGATTCAAGACGTTAATCTATGTGATTTAACAATAATTTTCGGCCCGTTAAACCCACAAACAACTTAATCCTTCAAAAGGGTTGAAAAGCCAACCTTTATGGACAAACCTCAACGAATCAGCAGGAACTTCATTTTATTTCCAAGGTGCATGTGTTTTGCGAAATACACGATGTTCCTTTGTTTATTAAGCTGCAAAGTCATTTGTAAGAGCCAACTTACTAGGACATGCATGGACACTGCAGCTACTTTGCAAAAAGCCATAATTCCAGATAACACATGGGAGATCAAACATAATCTAGCTTGCAATATTATTGGTGCACACTTTGGAAGTGGTTTTTGAACTTGCATCCTTAATATAGCAAATGCACCAAGTCATAATTCTGTAGGCTGAAGATGCAACTTCACAACTTTCATTCTAAATATCAACTAAAATCAACCAAAGCACTTTACTTAAATATCTTGACAATGGTTTTGTTTCACTTTTTTATAAATGGAGTAGAAATCTAATTTATATGCAAAACATTAAATCCTAAAGGTACAATTCCAGGAAATAGATGAAGTACTTTTCTGAATTGTCTCTCGTTCCAGATCACATGACTGGGGGCATTTACGTTTGAAGATTTTGTTGAATTGGAACCAGACCATTTTAATTACTTGTTTTTTGGAAATAATATCAGCTGTTACCGCTCTCTTCGAAAAACCCAAAAAAGAGTATCGAAAGAAGAATGCCACCCATGCCACCATACCAGTTATAACCTTTTGTAGTACGGATGTATTGTTCCAGTGAACATGTATTTGTTGTTCTGGTCAATCCAACTTTTCCGTGGAAAACGAGCTGGAACAAGAGAAAAACTGCACTGTCTGAGTTTCTCCATTTCATACTGAAACCCACAGAACACTGTATACAAACAGGTGTAATATATGCAGTGGCAGATCTAGGGGAGGAGCCCCCTCTTATTTTGGGTAAAAAAAGTAGAAATCACAGAAGGAAGAAGGACAAGCAAAACAAAACCACCCCCCCCCCCCCCCCCCCCCC